TTCAAACAAAGCAAGTAATCATCCTGGGCAGGTATATTCAGGGTGAAAGCTACACACAGGTAAAGGGCAAGTCTAATTTTAGTTTTTAAAAAGAAGCTTCAGAACACCAAAAACACACTCATATCAAACAGCATACACACCACCATAAACCTACTCTTGGGAGCACTGTGAGATTTGACCTGAAACCAGGGTCAGAAGGCTTTCCCTCACATTGCTATTAGTGAGATGGCTGAAACATGAAATTAGAAGCCGAGAAGCCCTCCTTAAAGGAGACTGTCAGCAACAGACTACAGTGAAATTAGAGAGCAAGTCTGTGAATCACCGACAGCATGTAGAAAGTCAATGACTTTAAAAGCTACAGTAAGCCACCTAAATATAGACAAGAACACAAGTGGGTAACAGACAAATGGTCTTACAGGGAAGCATTTTCAACTTGTGACAGCCACATTCGGCACATGTGGCTAAATATAAATATTCTATCACTGTTGCCACCCAGCCAACCTTCTTTAAGAAGCTTGCTCCAGCTTGGAATTAGGAATGCAGACAGGTATTTTAGTCATTTCCACAGGTCTAAATGCTAGTTGGGTGATTGGTGGTTTCAAAAGTGGCCCAGCTGTCACTGCTATCAGCTACTACAACACACCCACTCCCAAGACCCACCAGGGGCATACAAAGTTTTGTAAGAAAATGACAAGAAGTGAAGGGAGAGATGGGAAGGCCAACAAGCTTTACTTGCAATGCCTGATCCTTCAAGTTATCTACACAGGTGGATCATATCCTCCTTTAGGAAAACAAGCAGAATGTCCGTTTCTGCAAACAGGATGAAAAAGTTTAATTTAGATCTCTAATATGCACACCATTTTCAGCATATTGTTGGTATTTATGGTCAACTGTGGGTCATGTGCCACAGGAAACCTGAAATATGCATTTAGGTGGATGTGACAAATTACAGATCTCTCATCCTTAATACAGAAAAGGTGATTGACAGCTAACAGGCAGGAGGTAGGCTCACTGGCCAAACCCAATCATTATCAAGAACCTCATCCTTGGGGTTTATGTATCCGTGGGGAATATAAGCACAGCAATACTTCAAAGCCGGTGGTGCCCAGCAAGCACACAACTTCTGGGGATGCGTGCCTGTTTTCTGGGTTTGCCGCTGCCTCTCCTACAGAAATGTGCGCAAATCCCATGTGAGCAGGGCCCCCACGGGTCAATCCCAGCGCCTCCCCCAGGTCTGGCAAACACGGTGGATAGGGGCTCCACAAACACTTGTGGAGGAATGGAGGAATGAATGAGCTGTGCAGTGGTTCAAGAGTGATACTAATCCCTCAGGCCCCTGGACCTCCCGCATCCTCAACCTAGCAAGCAGGGGCTCCGCCAAGTGCCCTCCACTGACTGCACCGCCTCGGCCTCGGGCCACCTCCCGCCTGGCCCCGGCCTGGCCCCGCTGCGGGTGGAGCGGCGCCTGGCAACAGCCTCCCCAACGCGGCTCGGGTTCCCCGCCGCCTTCAATAATTCACAGCCCAGAGTCTTGCAGGGTTGAATAATTCCAGAAGACCCCAGCGCCCCGCGCCGCCCCCTCGCGCCGCCCCGCACCTTCTCGCCCTCATCCGGGTTCTTGTCCGGGTGGTACTTGAGCGCCAGCTTCCGATAGGCCTTTTTGATCTCCTCTGGGGAGGCGCTGGGCTTCACCCCCAGGATGTCATAATACTGGGTCTCCTTCACCATCTTGTCTCTGCGGGGCGGGGCGGGCGAGGCCGGTTAGCGCGTCCCGGACGCCCCCCGGGCACCTGGCCCGCGCCCCCGCCGCCCGCCTGCGCGTCACGGTCACGGTCACGGTCACGGCCGTCGCCCGGGGGCTCCCTCCCGCGCGCCCGCGCCGGGCCGACTTCCCCGCCGGGTACCGCCGCACTCGAGCCGCCGGCTCCTCCGCGGCGGGTTTTATTCGGCGCCGGCGGAAGGTTCCGCAAAGAGACAGTGACGCCACAAAGGCCCAGAACCTTCGCGGAGGTTCCGGCGGCGCCTGGGGCTCCTCAGCTGCGCGACACGGCGGGTTCGCGGCCCGGCCCCCCGGCGCCCGGCCCCGCGCGCTCACTCGCTCTCCTCCGGCGCCTGCTCCTCAGGCGGTCCACTGTCCGACTCCCCGGAACTCCAGTTTTGACTGCCGCCGCGGGCCATGTTGGGGGACTTTGAAAGTGGCTTCGGCGTGGAGGCGGCCCTCCGACGACCTTCCCGCCGCCCCGAGGCCGCCCCCTTGCTCTTTCGTGGGTCCGTGGGGCTGGCGGACTGTAGGATCGCGTGGTCTGGAGGGCCGCGGCTGCGGAAACCTTGGGCCGAGCTGTTGGACTGCGAGAGCTTCTCCCTGCGGTCCCCACCCGACTTCTCCCCAGGGGTGTGGCCGCCCTCTGTTCGGTCACGACTGGGATGCGCCCTGAGTACTGCCTCGGATTGTTGCATTTTACGGGGGGCTTGAGCGGGAAGGGGTCCTCTGCCATGGTAGCGCCCCCTTTGCCAAGGGCCTGCAGCTGCTGGGTCCCCCTGTGGCATCTTCAAGGATAGAATAAATAGCCTTTCCAAATATATGCAGTGGTCCTTAGGTGGTCCCAGGTGTGAAAGGTGGCCTCTGTACTGTCCACAACTGGGAATCAGTCCCGTAAGTACCAACGTTGGCCAGTGACGTCCCACAGCTGTGAGCAGTGACGCCCATCAGATGTGAGCAGCAACGTCCCCCAAGCCTCCCAAGGGTGGGCAGTGACCTCTCTTCTTCCAGCGGTGGGAGACCACCCCTCCCCTCCTCACTTGTTAGTGTACAAACCACTAAGGCAGTTAGTGGTTTGTACTGGGCTCAGTGTTGGGTATACAAGGAAGACTCGCAGCTGGACCCTGACAGTGTGCTGTACCACCCGAGACATGACCTGGAAGGGTGCGGTATTAGGTCCTCGACTTCTCTAGGCCGCTCTTAGCCTGTGCCCCAGGGGCCATGATGAAGAGCTGCTGTGGAATCATGGGTAGAGAGAGAAATAAGGCCCTCTCTTCTCTGGCTAGCCTTGGTTTCTGCAGGTGCAACACTATCCGGGAGTGGAAGGCCCCTGCTTCCCTCCCTGAAATCCCCTGGCCTCGTGTGGGGTCTTATAGCTGAACCCGGTATTACCCCCTCTTACACGTGTACAATGGGAGTGACAAATGACTTAATGTCCAGAAGAAATTAAGCTACTAGTTTCACTTGTTGACTCTGTTGTTTTCCTTTGAAATATGCCCCTGTAGAGCAGTTGCCCTTTGGACAAAGACTCAAAGCTGTTCATCCGGAATTTTGGATTCCATACTGATCTTATTACCTTCAGGAGCCTCAGCCTCTTGAGTTTGTTTCTTCAGGAGCAGGACATAGTTATTGCCAACTTCTTGTCTTTCTCACAAGGCTCTTGTAAAGATGGTATAGAATGATAGCTGTGGAGGCTTCTAGGGAAACTGGCTGCTCAAAGGGATCACCTGGAAACTTCTTTAAAAATGTCTATGTTAATCTGCACCCCAGACTAATTACTTAAGGGCATGTAGGGGCAGGATGCAGGCATCCTATTTTTAAAGCTCCCCCAGGTGGTTCCAGTGTGTAGCCAGAGCTGAGAACCACTGTGCAGCCCCATGTACTTGTCCAGGTTCAGTACTGTGAAACAGAGTAGGATGGACATGTGGGAGAAAGGGATGGCTTAAGGGTGGTCAGAGCCTAGAAGCAGAGAATGGGGCTATGAACTCTGGGAGCAGCAAGACAGAGTTCAAATCCCAGCATTACAGTCCCCCCCACAATTTTTATTGGTGCATTATAGTTTTTTATAATGATGGGATTTGTTCTTATATATTTGTACATGCACATAATATAAAAATATAATTTTGGCCAATGTCACTCCCCTGCATTTCCCCCTCCCTTTCCTCCTTCTACCTCCTAGTCTCTTTCCTCTATTCTTCTGATCTCCCTTTGATTTACATGAGAAGCCCTCCCCACACACACACACACCTATCTTTTCTTTCTCTAGCTTCCACACATGAGAGAAAACATACGACCCTTGACCTCTTAGTTTGGCTTAATTCTGCAGGTGCAACACTATCAGGGAGTGGAAGGCCCCTGCTTTCCTCCCTGGAATCCCCTGGCCTCATGTGGGGTCTTATAGCTGAAGCGGGTCTGACCCCCCTCTTCCATATGTACAATGGGAGTGACAAATGACTTAATGTCCAGAAGAAATTAAACTACTTGTTTCACTTGTTAATGGTATTGTTTTCCTCTGAAATATGCCCCTGTAGAGCAGTTGCCTTTGGACAAAGACTCAAAGCTGTTCATCCAGAATTTTGGATTATTTCACTTAACATAATGGTTCCATCTACTTTCCTGAAAATGACAAAATTTCATTTGTCTTTATGGCTGAATAAAATTCCATGGTGTATATAGACCACATTTTCTTTATCCATTCATCTGTTGATAGGCACCAGGGCTGGTTTCATAGTTTGGCTATTGTGAATTTCCAGCACTACTCTTCTTTCTAGCTATGTAACCTTGGGCAGGTGTCTTAACCTTTTTGGGTGTCAGTTTCTTCAGCCTGTTGAAAGGGGATGATATTAGCGTACCTACTTCAACCGTATCAAGCACATTGTAAGTAGTCTCAACACATGTTGATGTACTTTTTATTTTTACTTTTTGCTTTTGTCTAAGCTAAAAGCTGACATTCTCTCCTTGACCAAACTCCAGTTAGGCTCTTTTAAGCCTCCTTCTTGGTCTAGACCTCAACCTACATCTATGAACACTAAAATAGTTTCTAATAGCTCAAGACTACATCTCTAGATGACCCTAGTACCCTGCCCCCTTAAAGTTCCTGCCTGAGAAAACTCAAGGCTGGCAAAAGAATTTACTGTTTGTTCCAGCCAACACCTGAGGATAGGCCTCTGTCTCCCAGTCTCATGGGACAGTAGAATCCTAACTTTGATCATTGCTAGCTAGCACATCCAGCTGGCTTAATATTAATTACACTAACCTAGGCTTGTAATTTTTCGTTTTCCTGACTCTGCTGAACCCCTGCTTGTCTCTCTCCCAGCTCTCTCATCCTCCCTGTAAAAGACCCAGTGGCTTTTGTGCAAATAGAAGTTGAGCTCAGTTCAAGCTGAACTCTCTTCCCTAATTACTGATGAAAATTGGTCCTTACCATTTCGACTAGTGTCCACTTTTGTTTATCTCTGACAAAGACTTTGGTGATCTAGATTGTTTCCCAGAATTCTACATAGGATTTGAGACATTATACAAAAATTTATCCGTTATGTGTTTATTTTCGTGGTTACCTTAGTTTTTTTTTACTGTAACCTTTATTACATATGACCTTTGTTTTGCAGTCACAGTAAACAATATAAAGTATACTTTTAATTTAGATTTTAAAAAGATAAATAAGCATATGATACTTGTGGTTCAAGAATAAAAGCAAGCATGGTGGTACTCAAATGAAATTTGAGAAATGCTGATGCGGTCCTATCACTTCATTTTTACACTGGGGAACTCTTAGATGAATAGGTAACACTAAACAGCATAGAATGAGCCTTGTTGCCTGACTCCCAGTGCTAGGCTTCCTTTCTGACTCAGGGTGATAGAATCAAAGCAAGCACAGAAGTAGGTGTCACCCAAGGAATGCTGGCATGGTTTTCCATGGAGTCCCCCAAAGAAAGAGAAGGCACACTAGGTAGGGAAGGGTGTCAGGAAGGACTTCTTGGAGGAGGAGCATGTACGTTATAGACCAGTAAGGTAGAAGTACCTTGAGCAAAGGTCGCAGGGAGGGAAGCCATATTGAAGGGACAGCAGAATAAAGGCAAAGAGCACAGGGCTCAGATAGAGGAAGATTCTGAATTGGGAGGAAAATGAAGGCAGGTATACCAGAGCCCTGAATACCTTGGGGAGAAGTTTGTTCCCCTTTTGTTGACCTTGGGGAGCTAGTGAATGTCTGAGAGCAGAAGCTACATTCTCAGGGAGGGACTAACTAGCAACAATCATCAGGGCCTAGGTGGTTGTCTCCTGGAGAGGTCTGAGCTGGTCATAACAAGTATGAGAGAATGTCCCAGAGAGAGGGGGTAGAAGGAGAAAGAGTGTCAGGGAGAAGCCTTGGGGAACACCTGCCCTTAGAGCAAGTGGGCAGAGGAAGAACAGCTAACAGAGAGGCAAGAGGAGAGCCTGGAGAATGGAGAGGGACTGAGACCATGCAGTGCCAGAGTGGCAAGAAAGAGCAGAGAGGACAGTACCTGGACAGCAGAGAGACCAGGGACAGTGGGGATCATGCTCTGAGGGGAGAACACAGGGCTCCTCCAATAAGAGAATATAATTAATTGGCCTCCAAAACAGCAGTGGTCATCCAGGCTATTATTTCAAAATCTTGAAAGATGAGACGAGATTGGGCGCGTTCAGGGTGGTATGGCCGTAGACAAAATCTTGAAAGATGACTTCTTGGAGAAAACCAACCTCTTAATGACTCAGGCAAATTACTTCACCTGTCTGTGCCACCATTCCCTGCTTTGTAAAATGATGAACACCTGTTTCAAAGGGTAATTGTAAAAACAAATGAAGACAACGTATCTTTACCAGGCACACAGAGCAAATTCTCACACAATAGAATTCACCGATTTCCCCACAGTGTGGTTTTTGGGCACCTGCTCTGTGCTGGGCACTGACAGTACAGTGCTAGATTAAGGTCACACTTGTCCTTGAGGAGCTTGCAGACTAGCCATGTCTGAGCACCCTGGGTGATCCCTGGTGTGGGCCAATTTTGTCAGCACTTCAAGCCCTGGGAATTTCTAAGAATAAACATTGAAATAGTTGCCCAATTGTAACTAACCTTGCTCGAACAGCCGAAACCCAAGTGACCTGTGATGCTTCTGTGGGTTTGGGCCTATTCTTTGAGAGGCCCATTCCTCCTAAAAGTTGACCTTTACCCAGAGCTGCTGCCACCAGAGGTTGGAGGGACTTCTATTTGGGAAGGAAAAACTATGAAAGTGAAAGAGTGCCATGTATTTGGTCTTCATGGATAGAATTCTGAGGTTTTCTGGTCAGGTACCCCTCTCCTGAGGTTCCAGAGTCCAGAGGGAGGATATCCAGGCCCTCCCAGTGTTTCACAAACAAATGCCTTTAGAGTCCCAACTCTGCAAGAGGCACTGTGTCGAGATGGGGCCCATTGATGCCCACCCAGAAGGCAAGAATGAGTGGAAATAAAGCTCTAACTCCATGTTTCCATACAGGAATAGTATTCTGTTGAGTTCTGGGTGGTTAGGGAGGTATTTTGGAGTTGGCAATATTCATGTAGAATACTGGAGGCTTATTTTAACAAAAATCACTACATTGTTATAAACAGCATCTTTGCAAATTTTGTGTTATATTTTCAGCAATGCCAGATTATAAAACATTTCTTGAGTCATTGTAACTCTTAGTTTTAATTTAGAGACTTTTTTTTTGTTCTGAGGCAAAGCAAAATTTTCAAAGAAATACACTCAAAAATGACCATGAATTTTGAATATCATACTTGAACAATGTAATGGAATCACATAAGACAAAGTCACTATAGAGTCGCTGTAGATAATATTACAAATATTTTAATTGCATCACATAATTGCTATTTTAAAAACAGCTCTATTAAAGTATAATCAACACACAATGAATTGCACATCAAGTATACCATTTGAAAAGTTTTGATATTCAAAAATACCCATGAAACCATCCCCATAATTGAGATAGTAAACTAGCCATTGCTCCCAAAAGTGTACTCATGAGGGAACTTACATTTTAAAGATGACCCACTGAGGCTTGTACTGGTCAGAAGCTGAGCTGGGATCACATTGTTAGGTTGTCTCCTACTGTGTTTGTTTGTTTCCCAGAAAATAAGCCCATCAGTATCTTGAGTACATGATATTAACTCTGCCACTTCCTAGCTGTGATTGCTTCAGTAAGTTATCTAACTTTTCCACTTCAGTTTCTTGTCTATAAGAGGGTGCCTACCCTCTTACAACCTCATGAGGTTGTGGGGAATATTGAATATTAACAATAAAAGCCTTTAGACGGCATTTGGCACAGCATTCAGTAAATGATGACTACTGTTATTTGATACAAAGAGCTCTGTACATGCATCTGCCTAGAAGTATTATATTTAGAAATTAAAAAAGCTAGATAAGATGGAAGGCTGGAAAATTGGCTGAGACATTTGTCTCAATGGTGCCACTGTTCAAGGATGCACTCTGCATGTGTGTATTAAAGCTACACTTGAAGGTTTCTTCAGAATTTTCTTCAGCCTTGGTCAGTCCTATCTCAACAGTAATGGTCTGTGTTAAGGATGGCACCTGGCAAGTTACAGACTGGTCTAGGTTAGGAGAGGAGAATTGGCCTCCCCCTCAGACCCTGGGGCTCATCCTTCAAAGCATCTCTTATTTTCCTCTTTCTCTCCTTCCCTATTACTAAAGCCTGTGGCTATTCCTCGGAGTCTCCCAGACCTGTTCTCTGCTTTAAGTGATCCCTCAGCATCCTCTGCCTATCCCCCTCCAATCATTGAGCTGCCTATCCCCCTCCAATCATTGAGTTGCATTCCAGATTATGGAATCTCCAGAAGTTCCATTCTGCTAAGTCACAGACCTGCTCTAGAATCTTTGATGGATTCCCAAGTAGAATAATCAAATCCAAATCCTTCCCTCACCATGCAAGTTTCCCCCATCATCTGAACCCAGCTCACCCTTCTTGGCTCCAAGTCCCACTCAGAAGCCTGTTTGCCCTGTCAGAATAGTGCAGTGCCGTTTGCCAGCCCAGGAGATAGGGAGAGCAAGTGTGGAATCTGTTCAGAAATAGAGTCGCAGTGGTCCTGTTATAATGATGGTGAATTAGCATCTAAAACTGTGTATCTAAATTGCTGGCTTTGAGTTGCTCTTAGAATGGAAACTATCTTTGGGAAAATATGTTGATAAACAGTTCAGAGAGGAGTTTGAGATTCTAAGGGCAAGGCCTTGGAAGATGATGGTAAATTACCTGGCATGATGCCAAAGAGGAATCTGTTATTCCATGAGGGAAGAGAAAAATAAGAAACAAGAAGAAAAGAGCTTGTGGGATGAGCAGAAGCTTGAATTAGGTGGAGCTGTCTCCTTATTTCCACCCCACTTCATCTTCAGACTCCTCAACTCACAAATGTGTACACAGGTGTGTGCTCATGCGTGCATGCATTTGTGTGTGTTGTACCACCATAGAGGAGGCCAGCAGGGACCCTGGGTCCAAGTCCAGCCCCCTGTTATCAAGGAAGAAGGAGTAAATCTCCCTGCACATCCAAAAGCAGGGAACTAACTCTGGGGAAAGTGTGCTTTTACTTGAAAGGGACTACCATAATCCAATAGGAATTTTTTTAATTTTTAAATTTAATAGTATTTACTTAAAGTATAAAAGTAAAGTACACAAAATTTAAGTGAACTTCTCAATGACTTTTTATGCACATGTATACTCATTTGATTATTACCTGATCAAAATATAAAATATATCACCCTAGAAAGTTTGCTTAATATTCTGAGTTTTACCATCACAGACTGAGTTTGTTCTTGAACTCCAAATAAATGGAAACATACAGTACTAATCTTTTAGTGTGGCTGCTTTTGCTCATCATATTTTTGAGCTTTATCTGTGCTGGTGTCTGTATGTAGTTCATCGTTTTGATAAGTATGATGTCAAATGAATACCACAATTTTGTTTATCCATTAGCCTAATGATGGAGATTTGAATTGTTTCCTGTTTTAGTCTATCATGAATAAAGCTCCTTGTATAATTCATGTGTGAACATGTAGCTTCGTTTCTCATCTGTAAATACCTGGGAGTGGACACAATGTGTCATAGAATAAGTCATAGAATAAATTAGTCTGTTTAACTGCTGGGTGTGAGTTTCTTCTCACCAAGAGTCAAGCAAGCAATTCTGCAGTAGACACCAGCTGTTTGTTCTCTAATTTAACGAAGTTTTGACACTGCCTACCCAAAGGTAGCATCAGATCTGCCGCCTGGTTGAGGGCTCAGTCCAAGACTACCTCTTACTTAGATGTTCTTTGCAAGTTCAGGTTTGTAACCTGGAAGAAAGAGATTTATAGCCCACTGGATATAAATTGGGGTTGCAATAACTCTTCCTTGTGTTTGATTAATTATCAGAGTGGCTCACAGAATGCAGGGAAATAATTTATTGGTTTATTATAAGGGAAATTACAAAGAAAACAGATGAACATCTGGATGGAAGAAATGCATAGGGTAAGGCATGTGTGGAGGGGCATAGAGCTTCTGCCCCCTTCTCTGGAACCTTCACAGTTTCGGTTACCCTGGAGCCCATTGGAGCCCTGTGTTTGGGGTGGATCTCATGGAGGTTTCATTGTGTAGGCATGACTGATTACATCATTGGCCAATGATGATTAACTCAACCCAATGGGATTGGGGGATTCTTCCCTCCCCATAGGTCAGGAGGATAGGGCTAAAAGTTCTAACACTTTAATCACATAGTTTGTCCCCTGGCAACCAATTCCCATTCTGAGGCTATCCAGGAACCCACCAAAAGTCACCTTATTAGAACAAAAGATGCTCCTGTTGTCCAAGGAATCCCAAGGGATTTAGAAGCTCTGTGCCAGGGACTGGAGTCAAAAACCAAATATTACAATAAAAGGTCCTCTTAGCATCTCTATTGCTCAGGAAATTACAGGGGTTTTCAAAAGGGACATATTGGGCAGAGAGCAATATGTATATTTATTATTTCATACCTGCTAGACAATTTTCCAAAATGGTTCTATCATTGCATGCTCCTACCAACAATGTACATGAGTTCCAGTTGCTCTGTACCCTTAGTAATACTGGTGATATCAGTCTTTTTCATTTTAGCCATTTCTGGTAAGTGTATAGTCACGTCTCCTGGTTTTAATTTGCATTTCCTTGAGAACCAACAACATTGAGCATCTTTTCGTGTACTTCTTATTTCAAATGCCAGTTGGAGCGTCTCAAGGACTGGCAGTTGTGGACTAGGGTTCCCTAAAGACAAAACATCTCCAAATTGAGGAACTGAAAGTAAAATTTACATTTGCAGGCCTTATATTTCCTGTCCCTCTGGCTGCTTTTATCAGTTGTAGGTTGACGATGGGGAGAGTTGGACAAGTTGTCCTTGTGTATTTGAGGCCTTAACCTTGGTGATATTTTGCTACATCAAGTGCTTGAACTCCTCATGGCTCTTTTCCATGAGGCTTTTGGGCAATTCCACTTATCTGATATTCTGGCTTTTCTCCATTGCTGTACAAATCCTGTAATGGCTATGGCCACTCAATTGTGGGGCCTGGGAGTGGGTAAGACTGCCAGAAAGGGCAGGGTCCTGAGCCCAATAACAGAGTGATATAATATAAAAATTTGTTATTTTGACTACCTAGCACCAATCTTCTTTCTGAATAGCTTCTAGAATAATGGTCTCTCTTTTTTTTTTATCAGTATTGACAAATACTGCATTATCTTGCTCATATGTGAATCTAAAAACATTGAACTCAAAAGCAGAGAATAAATCGGTGTGGTTGCTGGGACTGGGGAGGATGGGCAGGAACAGAAAGAAGTTGGTCAAGGGTACAAAGTATCGGTTATAAGATGAATAAGTTCTTGGATCTAATGCATAGCATGGTGACTATTGAATAATAGTGCATTGTGTACTTGAAACTTGCTAACAGAGCAGATCTTAAGTGTTCTCACTACAAAAAATGTGATGTGATAGATGTGTAAATGAGCTTGATTATGATAACCACTTTACAATTTATATCAAATCATGCTGAACATTTTAAATAAATACAAGTTTGATTTGTCAACTATATTACAATAAAGCTGGGGGGAGAAAAATTGTTTCTCTGTGAAGCGGGTGGAAGACCCCAGCAGGAGGAAGAGTCTGTCTCTGAATGCTGAGGTAAAGGTGCCAAACCCAGCCTCTCCTGTTTGAGGGCATGATTGGGCTTCCTCAGTCAGATAGATGCTCTCTTCTACAATGTTGGATCCCAAAAGAGTGACACCAGAATCCAAGAAAGAATTTCAGACAATTTTTTGCAGGTGGAATGGGGGTCGGGGGGGGGGATGACAGTGATGGGCCCAGTTGCTATGGGGCGGTTGCTACGTTTATTCCTGGCACCCCAGCCTCCTGTCAATTTTGTGAGTCCTCTAACAGTCTTTTTGTTAAGTATGGCCATGTAACTGAATTCTGGCAAATGGAAATAATAGTATGGACCCCACTTCAGGCCCACAGTGTCCTTCTGTGTGGTCTTCCACTCTCTCTCTCTCTCTCTCTCTCTTGCCCTATCTGCTGGTTTCCTATTGGTTGGTAACTTAGGAAACTATGTATTAAATGGGCAGAGCCACCTGTGGCTTGGTTCTCTGTAAGATTGTGTAAACGAGAGCAGCCTGCTGATCCATTTTTTGTTGCTATAACTGAATACCACAGATTGGCTCATTTATAAAGAACTGAGATTTATTAAGCTCACAATTCTAGAAATCGGGAAACCCGAGAGCATGATGCCAGTATCTGGTAAGAGCCTTCTTGCTGCATCACACAGTGTGGTGGAGAGTTTTGCATGGCAGTGTGCCAGCTCAGGTCTCTCTTCCTCTTCTTATAAAGCCACTATTGCCATTTGGTGTGAGGAGGGGCTAACTTATGACCTCATCTAATTCTGTTTACTTCCCAAAGGTCCCACCTCTAGATGCCAAACACATGAATTTGGGTATTAATTTTCCAACACATGAAATTTTGGGGGACACATTCATATCCTAGCACTTCTACATCTTTCTACCCAGCCTTGTTTGGGACTTAGGTGAGCAAGAAATAAATTTGTGTTATGTAAAGTTGTTGTTATTTTGGGATTTTCCTAATAGAGTAACTAAGTATGCCTTAAGTAGTGTAGTTGCTTGCAACAAAAATCCCCAAGTGATCAAATATACCTCGTGATCATGAATATGAATCTGAAGGATACACACACAAATGTGAACAAAAGCAATCTCCAGATGCTGAAATGATGAGTTTTGTGTTCTTCTTTTGCCTATGTGTTTCATTTTTTTTCCACATAAACATATATACATTACATATATATGTAATGAAAACATCATTATAGTGAACACATTTGGATTCTCTGAAAGTCAAGGTTAGAGGCACCATAGCATCCACATAATCGGTCAGAAAATCCAGAATCTATCAGATTTACAAAAGCAGTGACCCGCCGGGCGCTGTGATGCACACCTGTAATCCCAGCAACTTGGGAGGTTAAGACAGCAGGATCGTGAGTTCAAAGCCAGCCTCAGCAATGATGAGGCACTAAGCAACTCAGTGAGACCCTGTCTCTAAATAAAATACAAAATAGGGCTGGGGATGTGGCTCAGTGGTCAAGACCCATGAGTTCAATCCTTGGTACCAAAAAAAAAAAAAAAAAAAAAAAAAGCAATGACCTGCAGACCTCTGGAATCTTCTCTGAACTACCTGCCCTGCATTCAGCAGTTTTTCTAGCTGTCCCTCATATGACAAGATTCTTCTATATTTCCATCCTGAACCCCACCTTGGAGTCCAGACTCTAACATCACGGGGCCCAGAGCTGAATACAGCATGAAAGTTTGGATCTCCTTCAGCTCAATATGATTTCCCTGGCACCTGCTGTTAGCAGGTCTTCAAGGCACCAGGAGGGCTACAGAGAGTGAAGACAGGCCCTAAGGGCACTAACTTGTGCCCTCCCAGGCCAGAGAGCAGCCCTTTAACTCTGTGATCCCTCCAAAGTCCATACCTTCCAGGGTCCCAAGGGCAGGGTCAGGACTGAGATCCCTCAGTAAGGTGAGCCTCCTCTCCCACGATGAGGTAAAGAAGGGGTCTACTCTCTGAGATTCTCCCAGACACCCCTGCTTTGTTTAATTTGGATCAACAAAATATCAAGATGATCAAATACCTTTTTTGGTCTGGTCCCAGCAAGGGATTCAAATCAAGGGCTTTGCCAGGTACATCATCCTTCATTTTCACATCACCCCGGTGATAGTCAGCTTCTGTGAGAACATAGACTTGGAGAGGTTAAGAAACTTGCCCAAGCTCACACACAACTAAGATGGGACCCTGCCAGAACTTTAACCCAGACTGAATGATCCCAAAGCCCACCACGTTCTTTCCAGTCCACCACACACCTGTCTCTATAACCAAGGTCAAATAACTGGGTGTTTAGTAGTACAGCCAAATCATCGCATGATCACTCTAACAAAAGGACAGGAAAATACCTCCAGTTCCAATAAAATCCTGGGCATGCTCTTTTCTTCTCTTTCTCTTTCTCCCTCTCTCTCATAAGAAGTCAAGTTGGCTTACAGTTGTAGCATTCTGCTGAGTTTCTTCAAAAATCGTATAATCCAATCCATACCCTCCCATGTTTGGGATGGAGGAAACTAGAACCCAGAGTGGGCTGAGAGCTTGTCCAGGGTCACAAAGCATCTTAACTCAGGCAGATTAAGGTTAGAACCTGGCCTTTGTAACACCAAGTCAATGTCCCCTACATCACACAGCCACCAAAATACCCCCAAGCATGTTTATTAATAATCTAAAAAATAGATATATTGTAATAGAATGTATTCATGGAAAATGGACAAATCACAAGTTTACAGTGTGATAAATGATCAGTGAACACTCCTATTTAACCCATGCCCAGAGTTAGAAAGAGAACATTGTCAGCACTGCAGACCCTCTGTGCCATCTCCCAATCCCTGTCCTGTCCACTCCACCTACCCCCATCCTGACTTCTAACACATAGATTTGTTTTGCCTTTTTGTGAACATCGTGCACATAGAGCCATGTAACAGGCATGCTTCTGCATCTGGCTTCATTTGTTCAATATCAAGTTGGTGAGAATTATCCCTACTGCTGGGGTAATAGTCCATTCATTCTCAATGCTGTTTAGTGTTTAGGTTCCATAGTAGGAATATACCACATGTTATCTATCCAATCTACTATCAGTGGGCATTAGGGTTGTTTCCAGTTTGGATTGTCACCAATAACATCTTGGTCTATGTCTTTTGGCAACAGCATGTTCAGGAGTGGAATTACTGGGTGAGTTGGGGGTGGCACTTTAATGCCCCTCTTGCTTTCTCCCAGGACTCTCCCCTAATCAGTGTAGACTCCCACTTGGTACTTTGGAAAATCCTTTGTGGCTTCCATTCCTTGTTGCCTTTGAGACCTTTTGGCTGCCCTGCTGAGAAAAGGCAGTGGGCATCCATGGCACATGTATTTTATAGCAACTACTACTGGACTGTCTCTGCATGTTGGCAGAGAAGAGCTCCCCTCTAAGTGCTTCAGATAAGCTCCTTTTCAACTGGACAAAGGCTCTGCAGCTGCCAGTTGGGAGCTGTTTCTGTTAAGGCTGCCAGTTAGTGATAATCTTCTCAGCTTGCACCCACCTGTAATCCAACATGGCAGTTGGCATGCCCTCCAGTGACACTGTAGCTCCACCCAAGGCAGGAGCTGCATCTCTCCTTACTTTCTCCCCATGGTCTAGTATAGCTCCTGATCCATAGAAGGTGCTAGAAAATGTTTGTGAAATTTAATCCAGCTTTCTAAAATGCCAGTTGAAGAATGTTTATTGAAGCCCCAGTGCCCAAGTTATGCTCAGGCATTAGCCCTGTATTAGTGTCCTGTGGCTGCTATAACAAATTGCTACACGTGCAATGACTGAAAGCAACACACATCAATTATTGCACAATTCCAGTAGTCAGAAACCCAAATTTGGTCTCACTGGGCCAAAATCAAGGCACTTGTAGCTTGCATTCTTTAGTAAGGCTCTAGGGCAGGATCCATTTCCTGCCTTTTCCAGCTTTTAGAAGCCTCCCTTGTTCCTTGGCTCACGGCCCCTTCCTTGCTTCCTAAAGCCAGCAGTGCAGCATCTTCAAATTTAACTCTGCTAATGGCCACTTCTCTCATGCTACTCCTCCTACCCCTGTCTTACTAGGACATTTGTGATTACACTGGATCCCTGGACAGAATATTCATCCCAGCCTGAAATCCTTAACCTTATCCCATGTGCAAAGTCTCTTTTGACATGTAAGCTAACAGTCACACATTTAAGGTAATAGAATGATACCTAATACCCTAATTAATTAGGTGTCACCAGGGGTCATAATTATCTCTACCATAGTCTCAAACCTTTAGCCCAGCTGCAGCACCTCAAACCTACAAACATGCACTTCCCATCCTGTCTGTCCATGTCCACACCCTCCTCTCCTGTCCGGCATGTTCCTCCTTGGTCCTGTCCATGCCTTGCACTTTCTACCTTGTTCCTAGAATTCTCATGGCCACAAACTCAGTATCTCCCATCTGATTCCTCCTTCAAGGACCCACTGAAAAGTCATGTTTACCAGGAAGCCATTTCAGACCCTCAGATGAGAGTGGCCTCTCTCCTCAGTGCCACATACAGCCAGTGGCTCTGATAGGTAGCACTGCTTGGGTGCAAAGCCTGCTCTATCACTTCCTGCCTGTGTGATCAACCTTAGGCAAGTTAATGTCTGTGTATTAGGTCCTCATCTGAATAATTAATAATAATAATATTATTAGTGGTTTGATTAAGTTACATGAGCATTAAATGAGAGAATGTGCATAAAATGCTTTAGTACTAAGCCTCATATTCAATAAAAGCTTAATTTAAAAATGCTAATATTTCCATCATTGTTGGTGTCAATGGCTCACTTCCTAGCTGGCTGTAACTCCTTACAATTAGGCCCCCAAAGTGTCTACCAATGCAATCACAAGTGCTCGTTAATTTGTACTGGAGAATAGAGGGGTGGAGAGATGGATTATGGTCACATTTACTTACATTCATGGAACTGAGTGGGAGCAGAGCATGCAACCAGTAGGGACACCCCCACCCCCCACCCCACCTCCCACTCCCACTCCACTCCTCACCTCCCACCCCCCACCCCACTCCCCACCTCCCATCCCCATGGCACCAAGCAATTTAACTGACAATGGCAGAGGGAAATCTCCATGGAACATACAAGGAAGTCAGAGAATGTAGCGTATCTGGTCTCCAGAGGAGCTGAGGGAAGTCGGAGAGGGAGGAGGCAATGGGGCATCTGCTCTTTCTACCTGACCCCATGCCTCAAAGGTGGCAGTTAGAGGACCTATGGTGTCCCTTCACATCACCTTCTTCAGCTTTCTGAAGCCCTGCAGTGAGACTCCTCTTTATAAATGGTAAAGTCCTAAGAGAAACCGGTTATAGATGCTGAAAAGGTCCCTGGGAATGAGGTGACTTGTGCCCTTGGGGTCCTCAGAAAGGGTTAATCAATACTGACTCCACCTGTTCTCAAGTAGCCAGTTTGGGTGGTTCTTCTCCCCTGCGGGGCTTTTGCTTTGCTTTCTTGGCGACAGGGGAAAAGCTTCTCTGCATTTTGCCTCTGAGAAACCCCCACAAAGAATGAAGCCCCCTGCTAGACATGGTGGTGCACACCTGTAATTCCAGGGATTGGGGAGCCTATGACAGGAGGATTGCAAGTTCAAAGCCAGCCCTAGCAATTTTGCAAGACTATCCAAAAAAAAAATTTTTTTAAGGGTTAGGGATATAGCTCAGTGGCAGAACAACCTAAGATTTAACCCCTAGTACCAAAAAAAAAAAAAAAATGCACTCCCAAAGTCCGTCAGGCAAGAGTGGTCTATAGGAGCAGCTAGATTTTTATCTGAGAAAAGTGGGGGGGGGAAGACTTTTAGATTCTCAGGTGATAATTCATTCAGCTTTGACCCTGTACTGTGAGTTCCACTGGGCCCCTCAAGAGCAAGCAGAGAAGGCTTGTGCTCTGGTCAGTGCCACCATCTCACATGCTCCCTAGCTGCTGGCCACCGAGCCCTCCTCTGAGCCTCCACAGCACACCATAGCTTAGGAGGTCTTGGCACAGTGGCCAGAGGTGGGGAGATGGGGACCTGGGCCAGAGGTCAGCCTTCCTGGGTCCTAGTTTCACATCTGTAACTGGCTTGCTGTGGGACCTCCGCATGCCGACCCCTCTCGGTGTCCCCATGTATACTATAGGGGTTATAATAATGCCTCCTGGCAGGTCTGTTGTGGGCACACATTAAGTCTTAGACATGAGTGCCTGGCACAGTGGCTATAGGTAAGTTGGCACTGGTGTGACACCCCTCCCTCCTTGTTTTGGAAGTCCAGAAAATAGGCAGTCACCCTGAGGGTGAAATTCTCTGGGAACTTCCTTTCTTTGTCCTCTGGACATGAAGGAGCAGGAGGTAGAAGAAGCAAGGGTCAGCTAGAACCTGAGAGCACTTCGATCCACCAAAGATGCCCCCCTGCTTGCATACCCCCCTGAGCCTGATCTGAGAAGTTTGTCATTAAATAGGACATGGAGTTAAAGCAGGGGAGCAAATTCTCCATGCTTAGGTGAGCAGCTCCCAGGTAGATGCACTGCTCTGCCCCAACCAGCCTTGGGCTTGGCTCCTGGCTCTCTGGGCCTTTCAGGACTCCTGCACCTTAGTGTCCGCCCCCCTTCCCCACCACCACTCACATTCATTCCCAGCCACACCCACCAGGCTAGACAGAGACTGGAGAGGTCCCCATACTCACAGCAGACAGATCACTTCTGGGATCATTGATGTTGGGTCTGTGCCAGAGGAAGGTATTCCCAGGCCAGCTCTTAGGCTAAGAGAGAAAGACTTGTGTACCCCCTCCCCACCCACACACTCCTCTCTGTCTCTCCAATGCCACAAGCCCAGTCAAGGGGTGCAGCCTGGGGAAGCACCCTCAGTCCCAAGGCTCTGTCACTATGCCCTGGGAAAAGTCATCCAAGCCTCCATTCTGTTCTTGATGACCTGCCTCTGTCCCAGTGTCCAGATTTTTCTTGGGCACCAGGGTGCTAAAAACAACAAATGCCAACCCTATTTTTTTTTCTTTTTTGCTCCAGGAGGTCTCACTATGCTGCTCAAGCTGGCCTTGAACTGGGCTTAATCAATCCTCTCGTCTCAGCGTACTGAGTAGCTGGGACGACCGGCACACGCACTACATCGCCTGGCAACACTAACTTTTATTGAAAGTTTACACATGGCTTTAAGTGCTTTCTGTGTATTTAACTCCCTATGACCCCATAGAATAGGAATTATTATGACTCCATTTTTACAAGCAACTAGCTTATCTTGGATTCCCTAGAAAACAATACCCAAGGCAAAGTTTATGTCCTAAGCCTTTCTGTAGAGTACAATTCTAGGGCACAGAGTGAGGGGAAAAGGAGAATGAGGCAGAAAAGAAAGGAAAGCAAATAGAAGGTAGTGAGTGACTTTCAGAGCCATTCACCACTGCACAGAAAAGAGTCCTTTTCTATGCCATGCAGGACCTCTGGACAGGTCCTGTGCTCTGACTGTGTGCTGCTGAGGGGAGAAAGGGAGGGAATTTACTGTCGTCTCTCTCCCATCTCTGTGTCTCCACAGCAGGGACCAATGCAGAGTGAGCTATGAGCAGAACTAGGAAGGAGAGCAGCGGGGGTGGGAGGGGTGGGAGTCTGTTCAGGTGGCAGACAACCCCTCACCTCCCTCATCTCAGCTTGCTTGAGTCATTTAATCTTCCTTTTCACTGAAGCTGGTTTCAGCCCCTTGGAATTGGGAGTTCCCATTTTACAGATTAAAAAAATGAGGCTCAGGAAGATGAAGTGACTTAGCCTGAATCTAAAACCTAGTGAGCTCAGCTCTGCTCTGAACTGTCAAGATCCTGAGGACAGACTTCAGTGGGCCCAGTTTGCAGAGGGTGGTTAGGTATGTGGGCCTTGCTTCCTCCCATCTCGCTGCTCTTTCCTCCTCCAAGGCTTGATCCTCAGTGGTTGGTGGTAATCCCAGATCTGTCCCCACTGGCCAGAATCTCACAACCCAAGTTTCTCTGTCCCTGCACAGGGAAGTTCTGCTCTGTTGAAAGAGCTAAGATCCTAGGAGAGGTCTTGGAGCTCCCCCAACTGCTGGGTTCACCTGGAGCTGGAAGAGACTTGGCTTCCTATCCTAGGACCCGAACCCCACCCAATCCATGTAGACAGGGCCAAGAGGACTAGAATGCAGCTGGGATCCGCGGTGCCCTCGGAACTCAGGGGCCTCACAGAGGGGCCCAGAGAGCCAAGGTCCAGGGTGCAGTGCGGAGGCCCACCGAGGCATCCTGGGGGCAGTGAAAGCAGGAAGGCAGTTTCTGAGGTGCAGGCCAGGTGGCAGTAGAATGCCGAATTCTTGGGCAATGGCTGGGTGGAGGCACTGGGCCAGCAGGGGTCAGCAAAGGCCAGTAGTTCTCCTGCTCCTCCTGGTCGCCATGGTAATACATGCGCAGAACAAAAAAGTTACCCAGAACTGATGCTGGAAATCCACAGCAGTGCTCCTCCTGCCCAAGCTCCAGAGGCACCTTGACGAGAACAACAAACCCCAGTGCTGTCGAAAGCTGCAGGGTTCCACGGGTTTGAGGCATATGCTTCTCTGCTAGGTCCTGGTTTACCCACTGAAATGGACACTTGCCTAACATTTAGCTCATGGCACTTGGCTGACTCCCTGTCTTCCTTCTCCAGTGATTGATTATTACACATTTTTGGTCCTGTCATAGCTTCTGACCTCTAAACATGAGTCCCCTGCACCATGAGGACTTGAGCAATTCCACTCCCTTCTTCTTCCCACCCTTTCTCAGCAGTTCCTTTATTTTGAATTGTCAAAATTAATAACATTTACATTCTTTATTTGAAAAAATTTTTTATTTGTATGTACTGGGGATTGAACCCGGGGCCCTTTACCACAGAACCACATCTGTAGTCCACCCACCCCACCCCACTTTTGAGACAAGGTCTCACTCAGTTACTCAGGTTGACCTCAAACTTGGGATCCTCCTGCCTCAGCCTCCTGAGTCACTGGGATTACAGGCAAGTGCCACGGCATCCAGCCATTCTTTACTTTAGGGAAAACAAAAAGGTTTTTGACTAATTAAAACAAAAATTTTAAGTTTTCGGAGCTCTTTCTGTAGAAGATTCCATAAGTGTCCTATTATACAATATTATCCATCAAGAAGCATTTAATAAATGACCTCATGTTAATTTCATTATATTAAGAAGTGTGTGTGTATATATTCTATTTATTATTTCACAGATAAAATTGCCTGGGATAACTCTAGAGTCCATTTTTAAATTTTAAAAATGAATTGAGGTGAGTCAGGCACAGTAACTCATGCCTGTAATCCCAGAGAGTAGAAAGGCTGAGGCAGGAGGATCACAAGTTCAAGGCCAGCCTCAGTAACTTAGTGAGACCCTGTCTCAAAGTAAGAAATAAAAAGGGTTGGGGATGTAGCTCAGTAATAAAGTATCCCCTGGGTTCAGTCCCTAGCAGACAAAAAAAAATTGAGATGAATAAGAATATTAAATGATGTACCTGTCAGGATACAGCAAAACTCATGAAGGTGCTTAAGAATTTGATTGGGAAACAGTGATCTTGAGTCTTAAAGTTGAAAACCAGTGAGCACAGCAATCTTCTGACAGTATCATCCAATGCAGAGCAGAGCAGACATTGGCAACATTTCCTTCTTGTGCAAGAAACAATGTAACAAATGGTGCTGGGAAAACTGGTTCTCCAGATGCAGGAGAATGAGATCAGACCCTTATCTCTCACCCTGCACAAAATCAACTCAAAGTGAATCAAAGACCTAGGAGTCAGACCATAAATTATGCAGCTCCTAGAAGAAAATGTAGGGTCAACACTTCAACACATAAGCACAGGCAATGACTTCCTCAATAAGACCCCTAGAGCTCAGAAAATAATGCCAAGAGTTCATAAATGATAGCATAAAATTAAAAAGCTTCTGACAGCAAAGGAAACAAGAATGTGGAAAGAGAACTTACAAAATGGTAGAAAATCTTTGCTAGCTGCTCTTTTGACAGAAGATTAATTTCTAAACAATATTAAGAACCAAAAAAAAAAAATTAACACCAAACCCCCGCCACAAATAACTCAATTAGTAAATGGCAAATGAATTAAACAGATACTTCTCAAAAGAAGAAATACAAATAGCCAGCAAATGTACGAAAAAAAGTGTTCATACATTTAGAGAAATGCAAATCAAAATTAAAACTGAGGTTTCATCTCACACCAGTCAGAATGGCAGTCATCAAGAATACAAATAATAATAAATGCTGGAGAAGATATGGAGAAAAAAGAATACTTTTACACTGTTGGTGAAATTGAAAATTAGTATAACCATTATGAAAATCAGTATGGAGTTTCCTCAAAAGACTAGTCAGGAAACTACCATATGACCCAGCTATCCCACTCATTCGTATGTTTCCTAAAGAATTAAAGTCCCCATAGTACAGTGATACATGCACCCCCAGGTTTATAACAGAGCAATTCACCATAGCCAAACTATGGAACCAGCCTAGGTGTCCATCAATGGATGAACAAATAAAGAAAATGTGGTATATATGCACCATGGAGTTTTATTCAGCCCTAAAGAAAAATAAAATTATTTCATTTGCAGGAAAACAGATGCAACTTGAGAACATTGTGTTAAGTGAAATAAGTCAAACTCAGAAGGTCAAGGGTTGTAAGTTTTCTCTTATATGTGGAAACTAGAGGGGAAAAAGGAAAAGAAAGTTGGGTGCAGGTGTTGCATGAAAATTAAAGGGAGATCAGTAGACTAGAGGAAAGAGACCAGAGATGGGAGGAGGGGAGTGGTGGGGGTGGAGGGCTGGGGAGGGATACTGACCAAATTATATTGTCATATTGTGCATATGTACAAATATGTAACAACAAATTCCATCATTAAGTACAACTATAATGCACCAATAAAACAACCACCACCACCACCACAACAAAAATAACAAAAACAGAAAAATGAAGAAGAGAAAACAATGTGTCTTTCATGGAAGACAGGTGGATTCAATTGCCTTACAATTGATTGTTGTTTATAATCACGCCACAGTCACACCTATACCATGACTTATTTTTGAAGTCTTTTTCTCACAAACTTTTTTACGCTTACTAACTAAAAGCCATCACCTCAGGTTGAGGCATCATCTCAGTCATACTGTATATTTCATGCCCTCCCTTTTTAGTTGGAAACACTCCAAAAATGTTTCTTTTCTTTTTTACAGTGCTGGGGATTCAACCCAGGGCCTTGAACATGATAGGCAAGTGCTCTGTCACTGAGCTGCATCCCCAACCCAGAAATTGTTTCTACAAGGATACACTTATTGTGCCACACTGGCAGGGCTCTGCGGCTCACCACTTTTACACCTGGGTTACAGGTCCTTCATTTGACAAATATTTATTGAGAGACTCTTCTGTACTAGGTGCTGCTTTGGAATCAGTGCCCTCCACCCCCATCCACTGAGGATCCATCCAAGACCTTCAGCTGGGGCCTAAAACTTTGGAACCCTATATAGACTATGTTTTTTCCTATGCATATGTACCTACAATAAAGTTTGATTTATAAATTAGGCACCAGGTTGGGGATGTGGCTCAAGCGGTAGCGTGCTCGCCTGGCATGTGCGGGGCACTGGGTTTGATCATCAGCATCACATAAAAATAAAATAAAGATGTTGTGTCCACTGAAAATTAAAAAATAAATATTAAAAAATTCTCTCTCTCTCTCTAAAAAATAAGTAAATAAATAAATAAGGCACCACAAGAAATGAACAACCACTAATAATGAAATAGAACAATTATACTAATATAGCACAGTAAAAGTTATGAGAGTTTGGTTTCTCTTTCAAAATATCTTACAGCACCATACTCCCCTTGTGACGCTGTGAGGCAACAGTGTCTACGGGGTGAGATGAGGTGGGGTGGGTGACAAAGGCTCTGTGACATGGCATCAGGCTGCCAGGCTGCCACTGATCTTCTCCATGGATCCTCAGTAAGCCGCTCTGAGTGGTGTAATGAAATCCTGTCATCCCTCTCCCTCTGCCCGGGAGGTGAATCATCTCTTTGTCCAGCATATCTGTACTGTATCCACTAT